AAAGAAAGAAAGAAAGAAAAAGAAAGAAAGAAAGAAAGAAAGAAAGAGAAAGAAGGAAGGAAGGAAGGAAAGGAAGGAAGGAAGGAAGGGAGAGAAAGAAAAGAAGTAGAAATCATTGACCGGGCCTGGTGGCTCACACCTGTAATCCCAGCACTTTGGGAGGCCAAGGCGGGCAGAACACCTGAGGTTAGGAGTGCCAGACAAGCCGGACCAACATGGAGAACCCCTGTCTCTACTAAAAATACAAAAAAATTAGCTGAATGTGGTGGCGCATGCCTGTAATCCCAGCTACGTGGGAGGCTGTGAGGCAGAAGAATCACTTGAACCTGGGAGGTGGAGGTTGCAGTGAGCAAAAAGAGTGAAACTCTGTCTCAAAAAAAAAAAAAAAAAGAAAAGAAAGAAAGAAATCATCTTGCCTGAATAGCCTCTTCCTTTGATTCGTTTTTAAAATTATATATCTACACCACTCTCTTCTACCGCTTTGCTAAAAGGCAGGGCTCTCCTCCTCTCCAGAGCTAATCGCCCCACTCCTTCTTTAATTTATTTTGAAGGCAATATTGATTGCATATTATGTGCCAGGAACATATAAAACATATAAGGTATTTTGATTCAGAGATGAGTGACCTAGGCTTTGAGGAGCTCACAGTTATTTTAGGAAGATCAGATTGGCAAGGAAATGAACCATCACCACGCAGTGAAGTGCATAAGAAAGTATGGAAGCCTAAGAGAACCAAAAAGCAAACCGAGATTCTATACGATTTTCTGTCCTTCCAAATTATCACACCCAAAAGACAAAATCACTTACAAATGAGTTTTTCCCTTTGAGGGTCCTCCACTCACTCTGCTTCTGTTTGCAGCCTAAGGACACATCAGACTTGCCATTGTCACAAGGTACTGAGAACTGGCATCTGTAGCTACAAATGATGTCTCTCTTCAAAGCTTGGGAAACCTGCTCCACCTATCATTAAACATTCCACAATGATTTATTCAGAAGAGCTACCGTCTCAGCTGAATTTTAAAATAAGTGCCTGGGCCAGGCATGGTGGCTCATGCCTATAATCCCAGCACTTTGGGAGGCTAAGGCAGGAGGATTACTTGAGGCTAGAAGTTTGAGACCAGCCCTGGCAACATAGGGACACCCCTGTCTCTATCAAAAAAAAAAAAGAAGAAGAAGAAGAAGGAGAGGAAATTTACATTAACTGTGCATGGTAGCACATGCCTGTAGTCCCAGCTACTTGGGGGGCTGAGGTGGGAGGATCATTTGAGTCTGGAAGGTCAACACTGCAGTGAAGGCATGGTCACACCACTGCACTCCAGCCTGGGCAACAGAGGGAGACCCTGTCTCAAAAAACAAGTAAATAAAATAATTTGTTTGAATTTAATATGAATTTTATATGCTTTTACTAAAGTACACACCCATGCACCCCTGCAAGGACATGTCCTGCCAGATTTCAAAGTCACCTCAAATATCACATTCTTTCAGTTACTCATATGCAGTAAACAGTCATTTATTCATTCCTGCTTTCTCAACCCCATGACTCTCTCTAACACTTTCAGAGCTTCACTTCTCCTGGCTTTTGATTCTCTGCCTTTTAACAGAAACATGCCTGTCCCATCTGATGTTCTACACAGGCTGGGTGTCCTGCCCACCCCCATTTTTCTCCTTCCATTTAGCACAAAAGCTCACAAGAGTTTACTATAGCCCCCTTTACTTTCACATGACACATTCTCTCTTCAACAATGTGTAATGTGGCATCAGGCCCCATGCTTTCAAAAGCCAACTATAGTCTTGCACTTCACAAACCCAGCAGGCTATTCTCAGGCTTCATTTGCTTTGCCGTGAACTTCTCTGCAGATTTGCGTTCTTTGCTGGCGTTATCCTCCTTTCTGCCACTGTCTCCCCCTTTGCTTTTATGAAACAATTCTCACCTGGGCTGCACCTTACTAATCTTTCTTTGCTTTCTCCTTTTCCTCCCTCATCTTGTAAATAAGAGTACTAGCCAAAATCTAGTTCTTGTTGAGTAGTTTTACTCATTTCCAAGGTTTCAACTAGCACTCAATTAATATGGCCCTTAAATGTACATTTCTAGCCAGGACTCTCTCTGGAACTCCAATCTTGCATTCCAAACTACATACGTGACATTTTCAAGAAAATGAACTACAGATATTTCAAACACCGTACCTAAAACCCCAGATTCTTCTGGCTCCTCTTTCTCTCCCAGTCTTCAAACCTGAAATTCTAGAGTAAGTTTTTAATCTTTCCCCTCATATCTATTTAATTTCCCAATTTTCTAAGTACTTTCTTCCCAGCATCTCCACTTTTCTCGTTGCCTTCACCCTAATCAGGACCTTAATACACACACCTAGATTACAGCAACCGTCTTCTAACCAGTTTCTCTGCCTCGGGCATTCCATCCCCAGCCAGTCTGTCCTGTACATTTCCAGTAAGTGAAACTTCCTAGATGATAACATCACTACCCTGCCCAAATGTCTTTCATGGCTTCCCAAAATCTAGAGGGCGAAGATGTGTAAACTGATCATGATGGCCAGCCACAAGCAAATCCTAACCTACGTTTTAGATTCATCTCCTATAACACGCCGTGCCAGCGAAACTGCTGTATTAGCCTGCTTGAAAATACTTACATGTCTTTGGTCACTGTTCCCTAAAAGAGGACACATGCTCCCTCGTCACTTCTCACCAAATATACTCCCATTTTTCCAAGGCTTGTTTCAAGCCCCACCTCATCCCAATTCTAGGTCATTCCCACATCCTGTGCTTCTTGAGCTTTCTGGGTCATGGTACTCCCTACGCAATTCCCTTCAAACTAGTTTGAGTATGCCTTATGAAATCAATTACATTTTTATATTTAACTGTTGGGTTTGGAGGTGTTTGAGGATGTATGTCATATGATCTCTTAGGACAGTTACTGTCGTGGTGGCACAGAAGAAACCATTGCAGGGTCAAGACATTAGGTGATGAAGGAAAAGCAGATATGTGTATTACGGTACAAAGTCAAAGAGAAAATACACTTGAATTTCAATCTGAGAAAACATTACTAAGGCTTTATTTCATGTGAAAAAGTGGAAATTAGCATGATTTTAGGAAAAACAGTGAGAACATTAATGAGGCCAGAAAAGACTGTTCCCTCAGGAATTTTGTGGTGAGATGTTGTCAGATAAAACAGTTGATAATGAACTTAGCAAGAAAGTACACGTTTAAATATGGTTATATTCCAATACAAAATTCATTAATTTCCTAATAATTTCTGTGACGGGAAATTATAATTCAACCGAAGCACTGGCGAACAGCTGATTTTTATAGAACACCATCTTTAAATGATAATAAGAATGAACATACAATCCCTTTTCTATTCAAATTGTCAACATTCATTTACTGCTTACTTCAGCTCTGCTAAGCATCATTTTTCAAAATTCTACTTTAGAAAATGGAGAACCCAAACCCAGTTACTATGGTAATCTGGATTTCCTCCATTATGTTTCCTACAATTTTTTTTTTGTTTATAACTTTTTCCAAAGGTGAAATGTCAATGACACTGATTTTAGCAGCCCGTATTTGCTAGAGCCTGTCTTTTTTCAGAGCCTCTGTCTCATCAACTGAAAAGTTCAAGGGTGTGTTAGCCTTGATATTTGCAGCAATGAAACATAATGTTCCTGCACGTTTTTTCTTTTCCTCTTTTCAGGTTTTCTTATTTTTGTGTTTATTTTCTCATGGTTTTAAAACTTACCCTACCAAATTCCCAAGTCTGGAATTATTTTCTGTCACTGCAGTCATTGAAGCATAGTATTTTTTTGTTTGCCATCCGGAACATCCTACAGTTCTACTCAGAGGGGAAGAGGAGAAGAAAGGGGCAGCAGGTGCTGAAGTTCTATTCACAAGGGCACTGACCCTCGGCAGGGGCGTGACAGGGCTTTAAAATAGGATTAGACACCCAAACAAGGAAAAGGTCACACTTGACATTTCCACTGGAAATACCAATGCAAATAGAGCTGATCCTAGGGACATTTTTCACACACACACACACACACACACACACACACACACACACACACAATTTTGAAGTGGTTTAA